ATTCTGGACTCAATGTGTTCAAATTGTCCAACATGCTCTCTAGCGCCACCTATGGCCATTTCCGTTTTTGGAAAGATGTACAAAGTCGCACCGTAACTCCAAATGACCTGAAATTTTTCACACTTACTCGGGTGGACCTGCTCTACATATAAGGTCCAAGTACCCGTAAGCTCCGCCTACTTTATTTTTTTTTAAATTAGCATAATTTGAAAAACAGTTAAATATTCACTTAAATTTCAAATTTTGGTTTTTCAACACCAAACTCAGTATACAGTATCGCCGGAGGGTCAGACACATTATCGTAGGAAATGAGCATGTTCAGTCGATAAATGTGGCCCTCATTACTCTAAACGTGTTCGCAAAAAGGCGGGGCTTAGATAGAAATGCTCATAACTCATCAACAATGTACAACAAAAACACACATTTTGGTGGTAATGTTCAATCTGTATTGGGGAATAGGCACAACAAGTAATTTCCATTTTGGACTATAGGGGGCGCCAAAAACATGACAAATGTATAACTCATGAACTGATGGACGAAATATATATATATTTTTTTAGACATACTCTGGGGATGAGTATGGACTTATATTTAAATTGTCACAACGAATGACAAATGTGGGCGTGGCCTGTACTTTTTTTTTTATGACGATGTGCTAAAATGTGTTTCGGTACGCAAAACTTGGTACACACGTCACAGCCCACGACCTTTTCAAGAATGTAAAAAAAAAACGTAATTTTTCTAAAATACTGCTCACTAGCGCCCCCTATTGTGTGGTAGTCTCATAGTTTCTCAGAACTTCACGAATTTTGGCACAGACATTCCTCATGGAATTGAAGACATATTTGTACATACATTCCATTAGCCCCGCCCCCCAACAAGTCGGCCATTTTGAAATATGTGCGTTTTTCAGCCATTTTAAGCACATTCTTGCACACTTCTCCTAGGGGAATGATCGGAAAAATTCCAATCCAGGACACGTTCAGCCCCTATCCAATATGAAACTTAATTGAGAAGCACATTTTTGAAAAATTACTCGTGGAGGTCGTAAGCTAACAGCGAATACACCATTTTTGACGATTTACATGTCGCAAATTACTCCAAACTTCTCGGATATAGTTATTCCGATATTCACGAAACGCTCTATACATATTGCTATTATGATTGCACACATATTTCACATTGCCTTCCATTAGCCCCGCCCCCCAGAAAGTGGGCCATTTTGAAAAATGTGCGTTTTTCAGCCATTTTACGCACGTTCTTGCAAACTCCTCCTAGGGGAATGATCAGAAAAATTCCAATGCAGGACACGTTTAGCCCCTATCCAATAGGATACTTAATTCAGGAGCACATTTTTGAAAAATTACTCGTGGAGGTCGTAGGCTAACAGCGAATACACCATTTTTGACTATTCACATGGCGCAAATTGCTCCAAACTGGTCGCATATAGTTTTTCCGATATTCACGAAACGCTGTATACATATTGCTATTATGATTGCACACATATTTCAAATTGCCTTCCATTAGCCCCGCCCCCCCATAAAGTCGGCCATTTTGAAAAATGTGCGTTTTTCAGCCATTTTACGCACGTTCTTGCAAACTCCTCCTAGGGGAATGATCAGAAAAATTCCAATGCAGGACAGGTTTAGCCCCTATCCAATAGGATACTTAATTCAGGAGCACATTTTTGAAAAATTACTCGTGGAGGTCGTAGACTAATAGCGAATATACCATTTTTGACGATTTACATGTTGCAAATTACTCCAAACTACTCGGATATAGTTGTTCCGATATTCACGAAACGCTGTATACATATTGCTATTATGATTGCACATATATTTCAAATTGCCTTCCATTAGCCCCGCCCCCCATAAAGTCGGCCATTTTGAAAAATGTGCGTTTTTCAGCCATTTTACACACGTTCTTGCAAACTCCTCCTAGGGGAATGATCAGAACAATTCCAATGCAGGACAGATTTAGCCCCTATCCAATAGGATACTTAATTCAGGAGCACATTTTTGAAAAATTACTCGTGGAGGTCGTAGGCTAACAGCGAATACACCATTTTTGACGATTCACATGTCACAAATTACTCCAAATTACTCCAAACTACTCGCGTATACTTTTTCCAATATTCACGAAACGCTGTATACATATTGCTATTATGATTGCACACATATTTCAAATTGCCTTCCATTAGCCCCGCCCCCCAGGAAGTCGGCCATTTAGAAAAATGTGCGTTTTTCAGCCATTTTACGCACGTTCTTGAGAACTCCTCCTAGGGGAATGATCGGAAAAATTCCAATGCAGGACACGTTCAGCCCCTATCCAATATGATGCTAAATTGAGAAGCAAATAGTTGCTAGCTGAAACGAGGACCTCGTAAGATAACGGAGAATATACCTTTTTGACCATTTATATGTCAGATAACCTACTGAATCCTGCCTCGGCTTTTTTACCGCGGCTTCAAGCAGTTGTGTCAGCACAAAAAGGACTGCATTTACCTCCGTACCGGGACACTGTTTCTCAAAAACAGACAAATACTTACCCATTATTTTAATCGGGATGGACTCCACCTAAATGTGGAGGGAAAACAAATACTATTTAAATATTTAAAGACATTTCTTTGGCATTTCTGTAAGCATTCATACAATGTTTACAAAAATTCCAAATAAATATCTTTCTCACAGACAGACAGACAGACAGACAGACAGACAGACAGACAGACAGACAGACAGACAGACAGACAGACAGACAGACAGACAGACATCGTAACACAATTTTAAACTACATTTTATTTGAAATTCTACATTTTACTGATACCAACTATATAATATTTACATTGTTCATTACAAAAAAAAAAAACATTTCTTTAATATAATATGTTTTAATTTATTTTTTACCTTGAATGACAATCAAACATGTGGGAAGAGGGGGGCCGGCCGCCACTGTACATCATAATAAGAATCATTAGAAATAACAATAACATAGAGATAGGAAATTAATGACAGGGAACCCTCTGAATCAGCGCCATATATAGAGTATATCTGAATCAGACTACGAGTGGCTGACTGCATCCAGAGTGTTCGATTCAGAAACGTGACTCTGTCACCCTTTACGTCACAAACAAAGATGGTGGATGAGATCAGATCTATAACACACCATGTAACACACATGGAACGATAGTCAATGGGCCTGCGACTTACCTCTCTCTCCCTCTCTCACGCAGCCAACGTGCAGGCGACAAGACGGGTGACGCGTATGACGTCACTCATTCTAGTGATGGGAATTCCGGCTCTTCTTGGTGAGCCGGATCATTTGGCTCGGCTCACCAAGAAGAGCCGGCTCTTTCGGCTCCCAAACGGCTCTTCAGTTTACCACTTATTATACCTTTTAATTCAATCAAATGTAGCCCTGTTTTGACTAATGATTTATATGTGTACACATATATCACTTAAATGATTCAATACATCCTTTTACAAAAGTAAAAATTACATATAATAATATAAATGATTTGCTGTGGCCAATTGTTTTCATTGCATTTACAGAACCGTGCAACTCTCTGATACCACCCAATGCATTGACTTGCTTATAGAACCACGCTACACAAAACAGATAGCAACACCTATACAAACTATTTTAAAAGAAGGGGCTACTGTATCGACCTATATAAAGTATATAAATAGATTTTTTTTTTCTAAATCCCAAAAATATCCTGCATTTTAGCCATGCCTCATTTCGCTCCATTTGCTCTTTCCAGCGCTGTTTTTGCAGGGGGCTGATTCTGTGAGCTGCAGCTGACCACGCCCCCCTGCAGGAGAGGGGAGCGTGCTCTGAGATCAGCTGCTGGACTGTCAGAAGAGGGGGATAAAAAAAGATCTCCGTCCTCTGTGTTTTATTCTTATAGAAGTAAGAAGAGAAGTAACGGGGCAGAAACCCTCCTTTTTACGCAGCGGTCCAGACATAGACATCAAACGGCGACACATATTCAGTTGCCAGCAGAGTTGGGTGTAACGCGTTACAGTAACGTAACTACTTTTTTCGGGTAAAACGTAGTGTAACGCGTTACTATGAAACATTTGGTAACGTAACGTAGTTTCTTCTTCAATTCTCCGCAACGTTACTTTTACGAGTGACAGTGACACTGCCTACTCAGCTGCGTGCTTACGCATTAGGCACGAGCTCTCATTCCACACTGTACGTGCTACGTGACGTGCTGGTGGTGGCATGAAGACTGAAGAGCAGTGATGGCAACGGCAAGTGAGAAGCAGGCGCAGCCAACGCTAACATTCGAGGGATGGAGGTATTCCCATTACTTCGAACTTGTTGACAATAAGGGGAAAAATGTGAGTGTAAGGTGCACGTTGTGCCCTGGCCAGAAACTTTTGTCCACTGCCGTTAATTCAACTGCCAACCTCATCAAGCATTTGAGAGGAAAACATGCTAGCATGAAGCTAGTAGCTCAAGATCCCCGGAGAAATGAAGATATTTCGAGTCCAAGCCCAAAGCAGCTAAAACTTCAGTTTCTCCTATCTAAACAAGAGTTGGACAAACTTGTAGCTTCGTTCATCGTCGAAGAAATGTTGCCCATCAATACTGTTGAATCTCCCACTTTCAGAAAGATACTTAGCAAGATACCGATAACAGGAGACAGGCGCCCATGGTCAGATCGTAAAACGTTCACTGGCTATCTGGATGAATGCTATCTGAAAATGGAGAGTGAATTAAAGAAAACGTTCGAGAGTTTGCCGTATCTGTCAACCACTGCGGATATATGGAGTAGTCATAACCGAAGCTTTTTGGGAATCACTGTGCACTGGATCAATCCATGCAACTTTAAACGTGAGAAAGCTGCCATCGCATGCAAAAGAATAAAGGGCAGGCATACATATGATGTTATAGGCTTTGAAATGGAACAGATTCACTCAGCATTTGGCCTTTCACATAGGATCACCGCCACCGTTACAGACAACGGGTCTAATTTTGTTAAAGCTTTCAAGATGTATGCACCGCCTGAGCCTAACGAGGAGGAGGATAATGACGAGCAAGGTGTCGTTTTCACAGATGTGGAAGAGTTGCTTGGGGCCACAGAAGGACAGTTTTCTCTTCCCCCGCATTTCAGGTGTGCTTCGCATACACTCAATTTGATCTCGTGCAATGACATCGACAAATGGCTGTCCTCCAACAGTGACTCAAAATGTGTGTACAGGAGTGCAACGGCAAAGTGCGCTGCTCTTTGGACAAAGGCGAGCCGCTCTACCTTGGCCTCTGAGATTGTCGATGAAATCTGTGGAAAAAAAATGATTGTGCCTACATCAACAAGGTGGAATTCCTTCCACGATGCCCTGTCCCGCATCAGTGACATCCCGGCCCAAGATTTGAATACGCTTTGTACTAGACTGGACATCAGAGCCCCGACAGAGCGCGAACATCTATTCCTAAAGGAATACTGCAGTGTTTTGAAACCCCTGACGGTAGCACTGGATATATTGCAAGGGGAAGACAACTGCTACTATGGGACTCTTCTACCAACCCTGGAGACCCTGATGTCCAGGACACTGGCACTCCAAAATGGACTGTCGAGGATGACAGCAAACCTACCGGGTGTAATTGTACAGGTAAGCCGATTCTTAAAGTTAGTAGCCTAGGCATATACATCATATATAGCCACGATGTCTATGATATAAATGTATATGCCTATCCATTAACGGACATTTCTTAATAAATATTCTTAAGATAAATGCATTATGCCTCCCCTGATGGAGCTCTAGTGAGTCGTGTGTCTGAAAACTAGGCTTATTTGTTCTATATAATTTTGTCCTAAGCTATCAGGACGCGATTCGCACCAGTGTTGGAGAGCAGTGAAGCTTTATTGGCTGCCTTGACGTTGCCGAAATTTAAAGTTCGATGGATTGTGGGAGCGGAGCGGAGAGAAGCGGCGCGTGCGCTGCTCATCGCGGAGTGTCGCACTCTACCCCGTGATGAAGAGCCGGCTAACAATAAAAACCGAGAAGCCGCCGCACACAGCAGCGCCAATGAGAATGACTTTTTTTCTTTTGATGAGGAAGAGGAAGACGCAATGTCCATTAGCGCAGACTCGGAGGTATTTGAGTACATGAGATCAGGCTCAGAGTTAGAAGTCCTCAACCGTTTCCCCCGAGTGAAAGCTGTGTGTATGAAATACAACACTGCCACACCATCCAGTGCACCGGTGGAGAGGCTGTTCAGCCTGGGAGGTATTGTGCTTTCCCCCAGAAGAAACAGACTCTCAGATAAACGTTTTGAAAGACTGCTCCTGATGAGGTATAATCGCACATTTTGTACTGATGTGGAATAGGTTGCCTGCCACCCATGCTATAGACATAGCTCAAGCCTATGCCTAATATCCTCTTTTTTTATCTGCCATCATACTGTGAAGAAGGGTGAGCATATGCAGTGAACATAGCCTTTTAATTCTGAGGCCAGTCCTGCTTTAAGTTGTTCTTGATTTTATTTTGGCTAAAATGTCTTTGCTTCCAAGCTGTATTATGCCATTTTATTTTATTTACACAAGCCATCGATATCAAGACATTTTGAAGTTATTCTTTTTCTGTTGGATTTACATGAGGCATGTTTTATTTTGAGACACATGAGCCATTTTGAGGTTATCATGTTGTTCCTAAGGAGCCTATTGATATGATTTGCACTAGCTTTGCACCTATTTTGGGGCTAGCCTGTTTAATGATTATGATTTTATATTGATATTTGATATTGATAGCCCAATGTTTTGTTAAGTGCTCTGTGGCATTTTTTTATAATAAAGAGCACAAAAGAAATATCTGTTATGTCCTCCATATATGTAGAACTTTATGTAAGCCTACACATTTAGGAACAGAGATGGAGTTCTGCCCAAAGTCGAGCAACATAAAAGTAACGTAAAAGTAACGAGTAACGTAAAAAGTTACTTTCCTTGCAGGGTAACTAAGTAAAGTAAGGGATTACTTTTTTAAAGAAGTAACGAGTAATGAGCAAACACTACTTTTTAAAAGTAACTTCCCCAACACTGGTTGCCAGTTACTTTGACATTAGGGCAGGGATATCTAGATACTTTCCAAGGTTTGACATAATGAATTGTGCTACTTTTAAAGCAAGCAACGATTTTTTCAAATCTGTAATCAAAAAGCTCCTCAAAAACACTATCAAAGTTGCTACGTTAGTTCAAACAGTAACAACGGACTACTTTTCTTAGCGGATGCATGTCAATTTAAATCAATACATACAACTATTTTTTAAATCAATAAAATCATTTTATAAATCCATAAAAGCATTTCCATTACTATTGGGAATCATGTCGTTACTTTGTTGAGAATATGGCCATGTAATAAGCGGGATAATGTGCACATTGCATAATGTGCCTTCATGCCGATCTAGATCCCTCCGCAAAAATGAGAGCCGGCTCCCGTCGTTCACTTAAAACAGCGACCGACACATCACTAGCTCATTCTCTTGCATGCTTTTGGCGCACTGAGAACCGATTTAAAAGCTTACATATTATATTCCACAAAAAACAACAACGACGACCACCAGAGACCACCAGGGACCACCAGAGACCACCGGATTCGTGCTCTGGACTGAATTTGCTGTGAAAAAACGTGAGTCACTCTATAGGCATTGTATTGTAGTGTGTGGATTTACTAGCTTCGCTCTGCTAACACAGTCCCTACCATGCTAACGGAGAACACTGGTAGCTAACACTATCGTCAATATAGACACGGCGTTATACAGTGTTACATTAACTAATGTCGACATAATTCGGTCTATATGTTTGAATATGGTTGTTTGCACCGTTTAAAACACAATATACACACGTTTATTCAAGTTTAGTTTATGTATTGCAACACGTGTTCTGTGCGCACATGCTAACTGCTATGTGCGTGTGTGAGCAGGGGCTGTCAACAATATGTGGCTTCAGCTTCACACTTTGCCAATAATGTCATTTCATTTGAGCATATTTATATCTGTTTAATAGGTTGTGGAAGTGCACCCCGACATATTTATTGATCTTCTTTATGGTATTTATTACTTTGAGTCCCTAGTATGCTAACGGAGCACACTCGTAGCTAACACTATCGTCAATATAGACACGGCGTTATACAGTGTTACATTAACTAATGTCGACATAATTTGGTCTATATGTTAGAATATGGTTGTTTGCACCGTTTAAAACACAATATACACACGTTTATTCAAGTTTAGTTTATGTATTGCAACACGTGTTCTGTGCGCACATGCTAACTGCTATGTGCGTGTGTGAGCAGGGGCTGTCAACAATATGTGGCTTCAGCTTCACACTTTGCCAATAATGTCATTTCATTTGAGCATATTTATATCTGTTTAATAGGTTGTGGAAGTACACCCCGACATATTTATTGATCTTCTTTATGTTATGTATTACTTTGAGTCCCTAGATGCTAACGGAGCACACTCGTAGCTAACACTATCGTCAATATAGACACGGCGTTATACAGTGTTACATTAACTAATGTCGACATAATTTGGTCTATATGTTTGAATATGGTTGTTTGCACCGTTTAAAACACAATATACACACGTTTATTCAAGTTTAGTTTATGTATTGCAACACGTGTTCTGTGCGCACATGCTAACTGCTATGTGCGTGTGTGAGCAGGGGCTGTCAACAATATGTGGCTTCAGCTTCACACTTTGCCAATAATGTCATTTCATTTGAGCATATTTATATCTGTTTAATAGGTTGTGGAAGTGCACCCCGACATATTTATTGATCTTCTTTATGGTATTTATTACTTTGAGTCCCTAGTATGCTAACGGAGCACACTCGTAGCGAACACTATCGTCAATATAGACACGGCGTTATACAGTCTTACATTAACTAATGTCGACAGAATTCGGTCTATATGTTTGAATATGGTTGTTTGCACCGTTTAAAACACAATATACACACGTTTATTCAAGTTTAGTTTATGTATTGCAACACGTGTTCTGTGCGCACATGCTAACTGCTATGTGCGTGTGTGAGCAGGGGCTGTCAACAATATGTGGCTTCAGCTTCACACTTTGCCAATAATGTCATTTCATTTGAGCATATTTATATCTGTTTAATAGGTTGTGGAAGTGCACCCCGACATATTTATTGATCTTCTTTATGGTATTTATTACTTTGAGTCCCTAGTATGCTAACGGAGCACACTCGTAGCGAACACTATCGTCAATATAGACACGGCGTTATACAGTGTTACATTAACTAATGTCGACATAATTTGGTCTATATGTTAGAATATGGTTGTTTGCACCGTTTAAAACACAATATACACACGTTTATTCAAGTTTAGTTTATGTATTGCAACACGTGTTCTGTGCGCACATGCTAACTGCTATGTGCGTGTGTGAGCAGGGGCTGTCAACAATATGTGGCTTCAGCTTCACACTTTTCCAATAATGTCATTTCATTTGAGCATATTTATATCTGTTTAATAGGTTGTGGAAGTGCACCCCGACATATTTATTGATCTTCTTTATGGTATTTATTACTTTGAGTCCCTAGTATGCTAACGGAGCACACTCGTAGCGAACACTATCGTCAATATAGACACGGCGTTATACAGTGTTACATTAACTAATGTCGACAGAATTCGGTCTATATGTTTGAATATGGTTGTTTGCACCGTTCAAAACACAATATACACACGTTTATTCAAGTTTCGTTTATGTATTGAAACACGTGTGTTCTGTGCACACATGCTAATATGCTATGTGTGTGTGTGTGTGTGTGTGTGTGAGCCGGGGCTGTCTGGGCTCAGGCCGTTGGGAAGTTAAACAGTATGTGGCTTCATACTTTGCCAATAATATCATTTCATTTGAGCATATTTATATCTGTTTAATAGGTTGTGGAAGTGCACCCCAACATATTTATTGATCTTCTTTATGGTATTTATTACTTTGAAAACATGTATTTAAATGTATAATTTTGTTTATTTTTTATATTTCCATTGTTTTTTCTGTACAATTATACTTAAAATTCAGGGTACTCAACTGTTCATTTTTTTCATTTCTTATTTATAACACATTAAACATGTCTACTGTAACACATTCAAACAAAACCTCAACAGCTGTTCTCATGCTCTCCACCACATTCTAGTTCATTCTTTTCTCCACATATATTGCCACACCCCCTCCACTGTTATTCATTCTGTTTGTATAATTCAGTTCATAGCCATCCATCTCAAGTCCACACCTTTCTCAGCACTGATCAAGGTCTCTGATATTGCAATGATGTTGAATGGGTTCTTAAACTGACTTAGATATTCTTGGTGGTTTTAGTATCTATCATACTTTCAAATATAAATTGCTCTTTAATATTGTAAAGCTTCAGTATTGTTTTGTATTATTTGACATCACCTTCATCATTTACTGAATTATTTTAAACGCATTTAATGCCATATTAGTTACTAACCAGTGTTTTATATACAAGGTAAAGCTAAATTGTTTATATCATAATGGATTATAAATATTTTCTATGACAACTGTGCATTATGTGTAACTTTATTTTTCTTTTGGTTTTATATAAAGGTTAAGATGCCACGGAAGAGGTCCTTCAAAATGAGGCGGTTCCCTCCGAAGGCAGTTCTCCCTGATGCCAAAGGTAGGCTGCATGAATCTGTTGAATGCACATGCGCTACTTCTGCTACTTCCACTACTGTCCAGCCAAAGATAGTTGGTAGCAAGCATTTGAGGTTGGCTAGAAAGGGAGATCAGAGTGCCAAGTTGTGTACTGTTGCAGCTTTGATAAGGCACAAGCTTTCCTGTGTGTGCACATGGAAGGCTTCTGTGCTGGACTCCATTCAGGAGGAAGGAAGGAAGCTAAATATTGAACAACTGGGCAAAGGCGTTGACAGTCAGTTTGAGATGTTTGACTCACTCTGGAGTATGTCCACAGGTACTGAGAGTTATGGTGTTTGTTCTGGGACTAAGCGTGACGGTGTGTGTGCTCAACTGTATGAAGCATTGCAGCTACCCTTGATGGACGATGCATCTTGTTTGCTGGACATGGATGGATTTTACTGTGCGATTGTACAGCACAATCACAACTTTTCTGTAGTGCATCTTAATCCTTGTAATTCCACAGGAATGCCCCTTGACTATGGCAGATCGGTAGCGCTTTTCCACAGCAGCTTCCCTGAACTCATGCTGTATATCACTGCTTTGTCACAGGCTTTAAATGCAAAGAAGTTCAGTGTCAGGACTGTGAGGGTGAACAAGATGCTACATTGTGTGGCAGGTGATGCACACAACAGTAATATTGCTGAGAAAATGGAGCAGGCTTCATCTTCTGAAGTCAAAAGCAGTGGTTCAGCTCCCAATTTGAAACGCAGATTGTCTGTACCAGAAGGTGTTGCGTTGAAAAAGTGCTCTGTCCCCCTTAAACGATTGAAACAGGAATCAGAATGCACAATGCAGAGTAACGCAGTGCCTGAAGTACTGGTTTCTAAGGAAAGACATAAACATGTTAGATATGTTCAAGGGACTTTTCATCAAGCCCATAGCAAATTTGGTGCCAATGCGGGAAGTCAATGTGTTGCCATGTCCTTGGCAGCTATGGTTTGGCACAAGAGGCAGAGTGTAATGACTTGGAACACACAACTGCTTGATGATGTTGTCAACAGTGGCGACCAACTGTACACTTTTTTGACTGAAACCGATTGCATTTCTGAGCAGTCACCGTTTGGATATCTTCTCATAAAGGAATTGCCAACCATCATCACTGTACATAACCGCCCGTGTGGCTTGGAATACAGCAGCCCTGTAGTTGGACATCTGTATGTAGAAGAAGGAGAGCTCCTGACTAATGGAGTAGCATACACTTTGAAGGATGGTCTGATGAAGATCTTTGAAACATACGATCACTGTTTCATTACAGTTCACGTGAACACTTGTGCTATTTTCCATCAGGATGAACAGTATGTTGTTTTTGACTCGCATGCACGTGACACAGATGGCAAGGCATTTGGTTCAGGAAAAAGCATAGTGTTATACTATGAGACACTTCTAGATTTGTGTGTTCACATTCGTGGTTGGGGTAGACGCAACACAGAAGAAATAGACAGGAATCAATTTGAGATCACAGGACTTACTCTGAACAGCACAGTGGATATTTTTAACAGCAGTGCTTCTTGTGATGGGAGTGCAGTTTCGTCTACTGCAGAAGTCCATCATATTGCCCCACAAAAACCTGAAAATGCATTTTGTGAACAACAACACACAGTGAGCCAGTGTACAGACACGACTACCAATGCTGACTGTGTAGTAAAACTGGAAAAACTGTCCGAAGATCCTATTCAAGTGGTAGGTGACAGTAACTGTGTTGACGACTCGGATGATGGATTCATTGGAGCCACAACGATGGAGTATCAGTTCAATGTGTTGTCCAAAGACACAGCGCAAACTTTGTGTAGTCAGTTACAGTTGGAGTACAGGAAACATGGAGATGTCCTCAGTGGATCGATTGGTGCCCTCGGTGTCCCGTGCACAACTGACAAAATTGTTGGTGATGGCAACTGTTTTTTCCGCGCTTTATCACAAGTGGTGTGTGGCAGCCAAAACTCCCAGCTCATGTTCAGGCGTAAGATCGTTAAACACATGATGTGCAACGAGGAGCACTTTAATAGTTTGGTCAGAGAAGAGTACTCCAATAGTTTGAAGGACTATTTGGATAAATCCAAAATGACTCAATCAAACACCTGGGCAACAGAGGTAGAAATCCACGGTGCTGCAAACCTTCTTGGATTAGATATCTACACACACATCGATGACCACTGGTTGAAATACAGCTGTTCAGGCCGAAAAATTTCAGAGCAGGGCATTTATTTGAAAAATTGCAATGGAAATCACTATGAACCAGTTGTGTGCACAAAGAATGGGAATTCATTGGAATGTCATAATTTGTGTAACATTCAGCCAACGTGCTACGCAAAACCAATGCTAACAAGGAATGCTAGTAGGGCCAATGCTGAGAAAAAGAATGGCAATGATATGTCTGAGACAAAGTCCACAGAGATTGACAGCTCTTGTTCAAGTAAGAGTAGTTCTCGACTTCGAACAGATTCAAAACATATTACAAAGAATAAAAGGTTCTCTGAAAAAAGGAAGTATGAGGATACAGAATTTCGACACATTAAGAACAGGGCATCGGTTGACACATATCATGATAATGACAAATACAATATCAGCTTGAATAAAGCCAGCAAGAATAAATATAACGACAATGACGAGCATAGAGCAGCTGTGTGTGAAGCTAGCAAGCAGAAATATACCAACAATGAGGACCATAGACTTGCTAAATGTGGAGCTAGCAAGAAAAAGTATTTCACAAACACGAACCATAGAGTGTCATTGCAACTGGCTAATAAAAACAAATCCATTCAGGCAAAACGCAATAAGCGTTCCTTTGATTTTGTTTTGAAACTGTTTAATGACACCATAAAGAACGGTCCTGATTTTGTGTGTTGTTCCTGCCTTAGTCTTCGTTTCAGAAAGCAAGTGGTAATTTGCAAGCGCAGTAGATACCAGAGAAACGAAGCCACAAGGACTGCAGCCGCACGATGTATCACAGAAGAGTATTTGCACAAATGTGATAATTGTGAAACGCCCTGCAAATTGCTAAAGTCGCCAATGGGAAAGTTATGGATCTGCCGGGATTGCCATGGCAAAATACTTCGAGGTCAAATGCCACAACTGTGCGCTGCTAATAACTTGCACTTGCATCCGATACCTTCAGAATTGAGTTGTCTGAATATTATAGAGATGCAGTTAATCAAGATGCACATCCCTTTTATGAAAGTGGTGTGCTTACCGAGAGGTGCACAAAATGGTGTGCATGGACCAGTGACATGTGTTCCAGCAAACATTACTGCCACAACGCATGTTTTGCCAAGGACCAATGAAGATGGGATTCTCTTGAGAGTCAAACTGAAACGCAAATTGTCACACACGGGACATTATTTATACCAATATGTCAGTATCGATCGAATAAGGAGAGCGTTGCAGTGGTTAAAAAGGACAAACCCTTATTACGCTAATGTAGACTTCAATGACGATTGGTTAAATCAATATGAACAAGACCTCGACGAAGAGCATACTGTTGATGACGTACAGCCTGATGAGACATGTCTTGAAGAGGAAACTTTACATGATCGCCAGACTCATGGCATGTTCATGGATACATGCCTTCAGCCAGTGGACCTAGGTCAGGACATTTTAGACCATTGCGATACAACGCTTAACATTGCACCTGCTGAGGGTAACAATCCAGTTCTAGTTCTTTGTGATGAAACCAACGAGGCCAAAAGTTTCCCTGGCCTTTTCCCATTGGGAAGTCCGACATATCACGATTTCAGAAACAACAAGGTGACTTTGGCCAGTTACTTTAAGAACCGAATCATGCATGCGGATGGCAGGTTTTCACGCGATTCAGATTATATATTCTACGCTCAGTACATGACTGAAGTACAGAAGGTGTCGTCGTGCATTTCCATCGCTTTACGGAAAGGACATTCAGGGGGAAATACAGGTAAGATTTCAGCGAACATGGTAAACGACACTGATTCTCTGAAAAGACTTCTTCAATCGAATGAAGGATACCGATTTCTGAAGCCAATTCGTGGCACACCCGCTTTTTGGGCTGGTGCCCAAAAGGATTTGTTTGCAATGGTCAGGCAGATTGGGTTGCCCACTTTCTTCTGTTCCTTTTCAGCTGCTGACATGAGGTGGAAGAATTTATTGACCAGCATGATGCTTCAAGAGGGTAGGTGTGACAATGTGGACGATTTGGACTGGAATGACAAATGTGGTCTTTTGCGTCGCAATCCTGTAACGGCTGCACGCATGTTTCAACACAGATGGGAAACCTTTTTGAAAGATGTCATACGATCACCAAGTCAGCCAATTGGGAAAGTGGTAGATTACTTCTATCGTGTTGAGTTTCAACAGAGAGGGAGTCCTCATATACATGCCATTTTCTGGATTGAAGACAGCCCACAAATTGATCGAGACACTGATGAGGAGGTGGTGCAGTTTGTAGACAAGTACATTTCTTGTGAACTTCCAGAAGACGATGAGCTACTTGAGGAAATGGTGTCAACTGTGCAAACGCATAGTAAAAGACATTCAAAATCGTGTAGAAAGAAAAACACCGTGTGTCGTTTCAACTTCCCACGACCACCGAGTGAACGGTCCTTTGTTTCCAGGGTAGGGAAAACGGATAAGTCGTGTTCACAACAGGAAGGCGTCGGCAACCAGATGACGGAAGAACAGGCACGTAAGATCATGTCCACGGTCAAAGAGGCAGTCACTGATGAGACGGCTACTTTCACAACAGTCTCAGAGCTGTTTGGAAGTCTGGGTATTAACCAGGAGCAGTTTGAATCTGCATTTGAATGCATTGGTAAGAAAACCCAGGTTGTACTGAAGCGCAAACCTACAGACGTATGGGTGAATCCATACAATAAACGTTTACTTAGCGCTTGGAATGCTAACATGGACATTCAGTTTGTAGCAAATGCATATGCCTGCATTGTGTACATTATTTCATACATCGCAAAAGCTGAACGTGAAATGGGATTACTGCTCAGCAACGCTCAACGAGAAGCGACAAAGGAGGGAAACACGGATGCCAAAAAGTCCTTGCGAAAGTTAGGCAGCGTTTATCTGCATAATCGTGATGTTTCTGCACAGGAGGCCGTTTACAGATTGACCCAGATGCATTTAAAACATAATTCCCGATCGGTTCACTACATTCCAACAGGAGATAACGCAACGCGTATGAGTCTGCCCCTAAAGGAACTAAAACGTAGGGCAGATTCAAACACTCTCACAGACAACAACATGTGGATGACCAGTTCTGTGGATAGGTATTTGGCTAGACCAAATGAAGACATATTTCATCGGATGTGTTTAGCTACATTTGTGTCGGAATACAGAGTTCTGTCGAAAAACCAGACTTCTGTTAATAGAGTGAAACTAGGCAAGGACCTAGGATTCGTCCTGAAAAAGACTAAGGGAAAACCTGCAGTGGTGCGCTATGTGCAGTTTTCACATGACACGGATCCCGAGAAGTACTTCAGGAACATCTTGCAGCTTTTCCTGCCTTACCGTGTGACTGAAGACTTAAAACCTGAAGGGTTTCAGACTTTCGAACAGTTTTACCATAACGGTCAATGGTTTCTAGACACTGTGGTTCACAGTGTTAAAACTACTGTTGATGTAAACAGGCGAACATTTGAGAAAGAATCTGAAGTGATGGAACATTCTGACAATGTTTCAGGACACACAGGTGCTCTTGAAGATGCCTGGTGTGAAATGTGTCCAGGGCAACAGTTGGAACGCTTGGAATGTGAACAGGAAGTGAGGGAACGAGTGCCAGTTCCCGACGAACACACAGATGCCATTCCAGACTTGGCCGACGCTGGTGCAGGGGGAAATCGTTTTGATGCACATGGAAACATTATGTGTAGATCGGATGCACTTAATCTTCTCAGATCTCTGAATGTCAAACAGAGAGAGATCTTTTATCAAGTTAGACAATGGTGCATTGAAAAGGTAAATGGCACGAACCCAAAACCCTTCAATGTGTTTGTTACAGGTGGTGCTGGGACTGGGAAATCGCACCTCATTAAAGCAATCCACTATGAAGCATCTAGGTTGCTGTCACAAGTTGCAAGTTCACCTGATAAAGTGTCTGTGTTGTTAACTGCCCCTACTGGCATTGCTGCTTATAGTTTAGGAGCCAGCACAATACATAGCACATTTTCTATAGGGTTGGATGTCAAACCTCCCTACACGCCGTTAGGAGAGGAAAGGGTCAGTACCTTACGTGCTGAATTGAGCGATCTGCAGATCCTGGTGATTGATGAGATTTCAATGGTGAATCATAACTTGCTAGCCTATGTTCACGGTAGACTTAGGCAGATTAAGCAAATTAGTGATCACTCACCATTTGGAAAAGTCAGCGTCATAGCTGTCGGCGACTTTTTCCAACTCAAGCCAGTTCAAGGCAAATCCTTGTATTTGGAGAACATGCTATGCGATTTCTGGACTGAACAATTCTCCATTGCTCATTTAAACACCGTTGTACGTCAACAGGACACTGTCTTTGCAGAACTGTTGAACAGGTTGCGTACACGAGCTAAGACCACGGCGCTCGTTGCCAGTGACATAGCTATCTTGAAAAAGTGTGAAACCGGGGAAAGCACTTCAGCGTTGCATATTTTCGCAACAAATGCACAAGTTAATGACCACAATATCAGACAGTTGTCAGCATCATGTCCAGAGAACCTTTGCGTGGAGGCACTGGATTATGAGAAGAATCAACAATCCGGCCGCATGGAATTGAAAAGAGGACACTTCAGAAATGTGTACAAATCCTATTTACCTGAAAGGTTACCGTTGGGAAAGGGTGCACGAGTGATGTTGATCAAAAATATTGATGTGTCTGACGGCTTGGTAAACGGAGTCTGTGGGAATGTCGTAGACATTGTCAACAATATCCACAACACATTTGTGAGCACTGTGTTTGTGAAATTCGATGACGAAAAAGTGGGTACTAACAGAAGGAAGCGTTTCCCTTCAACTAGTGGCAACCCTTTGGCTACTCCCATAAACAGAGATGACGAAAGGATACGCAAGGGAAAATTGCGTAAACAGTTTCCTTTGAAACTAGCATGGGCTTGCACAATCCACAAGGTGCAAGGGTTAACTGTTGACAAAGCAGTCGTTTCGCTTAAAAGAATCTTTGAGTCAGGCCAGGCATATGTTGCTTTAAGCCGTGTCAAAACCTTAAATGGGTTGACAATTGAGGACTTTAAAGACAGCGCCATATATTGCAAAGAGAATATTCAGGATTCCCTTGATGGCATGCCGCCGTTTGTATCCTGTGCTACTACACCCTCACAGGGAACACACTCATTCTCCATATTCTCAATGAATGTACAAAGTTTAGACAGACATTTACCTGATCTAACGGTGGCAATTCAGCCATTTGATTACAGTTGTGTGGCTGTAACGGAAACATGGTTAACTGAAACTGTTGCAAATCACACTGCACGGATTGAGAAATATACGTTTCACAGTGTGCCACGTTGCAAGGCGTACAACTCAACTGACGCTGTTTTGAAAACAATTAAAGACCAACAACAAGGGGGAGTTGGTATATATTGTCAAGACCAGTTAGAGTACACCATTTTGGATATTCCAAATGTGAATTTAGAATGTATTGCCTCGCATTTCACCAGGGAGAATGTGATCGTTGTGGTTGTTTACCGCCCACAAACATATCCATTGCCTCTGTTCAAACTAAACATGAAGCTGTTGACCAGTTTCTTAAATACTAGGTCAGACAACGTTGTCATTTTGGGAGACTTCAACCATGATCAGCTCAAGTCATTGTCAATGTCATCCTTCATGGAACAACTAGGTTACTTGCAGTTGGTATCCGAACCCACAACAGAAAAGGGAACATTGATCGATCACGTATATGGAAAACAAACAAGTAAGTATCTCACAGAAACGAAGGTTATCCCGATGTATTTCAGTACTCATGAGGCAGTTCAATGTTTATTAACAAAGAACACCTGAGCTTCAACTATTTCATTGTGTAACTGACAAAGGACACGAGCGGTAGTTTTGGTTGTGTGAAGACGGCGGAAGGCGGGGAGAGACATTCACGTGCCTTAATCCCTGCCGATTCGACGCACGACTGTTGTTTGGTGTCTGTGCCCCAGCAACTATTTAGGAGCAATGCGCTCATGGTGAACATGTAATTTTGGTTGTGTTTAGACAGTGGGAGAGGCATTCACGTGCCTTAATCGCTGCCGAGTCGACGCACGACTGTTGTTTGGTGTCAGTGCCACAGCAACTATTTAGGAGCAATGCGCTCATGGTGAAAATGTAATTTTGGTTGTGTGAAGACGGCGGAAGGCGGGGAAAGACATTCACGTGCCTTAATCCCTGCCGATTCGACGCACGACTGTTGTTTGGTGTCAGTGCCACAGCAACTATTTAGGAGCAATGCGCTCATGGTGAAAATGTAATTTTGGTTGTGTGAAGACGGCGGAAGGCGGGGAAAGACATTCACGTGCCTTAATCCCTGCCGATTCGACGCACGACTGTTGTTTGGTGTCAGTGCCACAGCAACTATTTAGGAGCAATGCGCTCATGGTGAAAATGTAATTTTGGTTGTGTGAAGACGGCGGAAGGCGGGGAAAGACATTCACGTGCCTTAATCCCTGCCGATTCGACGCACGACTGTTGTTTGGTGTCAGTGCCACAGCAACTATTTAGGAGCAATGCGCTCATGGTGAAAATGTAATTTTGGTTGTGTGAAGACGGCGGAAGGCGGGGAAAGACATTCACGTGCCTTAATCCCTGCCGATTCGACGCACGACTGTTGTTTGGTGTCAGTGCCACAGCAACTATTTAGGAGCAATGCGCTCATGGTGAAAATGTAATTTTGGTTGTGTGAAGACGGCGGAAGGCGGGGAAAGACATTCACGTGCCTTAATCCCTGCCGATTCGACGCACGACTGTTGTTTGGTGTCAGTGCCACAGCAACTATTTAGGAGCAATGCGCTCATGGTGAAAATGTAATTTTGGTTGTGTGAAGACGGCGGAAGGCGGGGAAAGACATTCACGTGCCTTAATCCCTGCCGATTCGACGCACGACTGTTGTTTGGTGTCAGTGCCACAGCAACTATTTAGGAGCAATGCGCTCATGGTGAAAATGTAATTTTGGTTGTGTGAAGACGGCGGAAGGCGGGGAAAGACATTCACGTGCCTTATCCCTGCCGATTCGACGCACGACTGTTGTTTGGTGTCAGTGCCACAGCACCTATTTAGGAGCAATGCGCTCATGGTGAAAATGTAATTTTGGTTGTGTGAAGACGGCGGAAGGCGGGGAAAGACATTCACGTGCCTTAATCCCTGCCGATTCGACGCACGACTGTTGTTTGGGTGTCAGTGCCACAGCAACTATTTAGGAGCAATGCGCTCATGGTGAAAATGTAATTTTGGTTGTGTGAAGACGGCGGAAGGCGGGGAAAGACATTCACGTGCCTTAATCCCTGCCGATTCGACGCACGACTGTTGTTTGGTGTCAGTGCCACAGCAACTATTTAGGAGCAATGCGCTCATGGTGAAAATGTAATTTTGGTTGTGTGAAGACGGCGGAAGGCGGGGAAAGACATTCACGTGCCTTAATCCCTGCCGATTCGACGCACGACTGTTGTTTGGTGTCAGTGCCACAGCAACTATTTAGGAGCAATGCGCTCATGGTGAAAATGTAATTTTGGTTGTGTGAAGACGGCGGAAGGCGGGGAAAGACATTCACGTGCCTTGATCCCTGCCGAGTCGACGCACGACTGTTGTTTGGTGTCTGTGCCACAGCAACTATTTAGGAGCAATGTTGTCAATTCCATTACTGACATTATATTCATCTTTTATAAAAACACATTTAAGCTATTCTGCCCCAAAAAATATTGTGACAACTTGTCTGAGGTTATCCACACCCACCAACATAACCATATCTTCAATTACATTAATCTGCAGTCGCATAACATTTATCAAAGGCGCAAACATTCTGTTTAATTGAAATAATGTATTAATCACACATCAGTTTAACATTTCTTTGTCACGTTTGTAAATAAAAGTTGTATTAATTCATGTTTTCTTCCCATAAGTTCCCTAACCCCCTTTGTCATATCAAAGAGTTGATGGACCCTTCTTTCATGCTGAGGACCAAACCCACTGCCATGACAACAGGAGGTTTTTACTTTATTTGCAATGCTGTTGAAGTGTATATCTGTTTGTCTGTCTGTCCTGCAATACAGTAAGATAAATATTGAAAGATTACATTTTCAGGCATATATTTCATTTTCCAAATTTCTCCAAATTTATAACTTAATTTAGTGGCATTGACCACAAAACAAATGTATTGCAGGTTTTGCTTTTTGTTAAAGTTTAGGCAACAACAAAAAGCAAAAAAACCACTGGTATGGACTCTCATTTGAGACGGGGTTCGACTCCCTGTGGTGGTTTGATTCTATTGTTGTGGTGTAGACAGTTAATTAAAGATCCATAAAGTATAACTGCACAGTCCAATAGTCCCTAATTGTTGACATGATGTGTTTAACTCCTAGGATCAACAAACGACATATCGCTACCTGGTTGATGCAGGAAAAATGGTACCAACACAACTGGCGCACATTCCTAAGATTTCCTGGTCAGAAACAAAGGAACACAAAGTCAGGTAAACTATTTAGAGGGATGACAAATGGCTCATTTCGGAGGACTGGGGGAGACGACCGGCCGCACTCCCCGACAGGCGCACGGACGCGAGGGCCCGCTCATCACTGCGCGCACAAGTGCGACCGCAGTTTTAATTAGGGCCCGAGCACGAGAGTGCTAGGACCCAACGGCGTCCTAGCACGAAGTGCAAGGATACCTATTGTTATTCGTGGA